GGGGTGGGGTGGGGGGGGTGGCCACGATTACGGGCCGACGGGCAGGCGAACGGGCGCCTCAGGTACCGATATCTCACGGCCTGAATCGCAGGCCGGTAACGCGCCGCGGACGGCCCAGATCGCAGGCCGATCAGAAAACTTTCTGATTGGCCTGCGATCTGGGCCGTCCGCGGCGTGTTACCGGCCTGCGATTCAGGCCGTGAGATATGACATTTAGCAGTTCTTATAGTAGGTGTAGATAATATAAAATAATAATAATAATAATAATAATAATAATAATAATAATAATAATAATAATAATAATAATAAGAAGAAGAAGAAGAAGAAGAAGAAGAGGAAGAAGACGAAGAAGACGAAGAAGACAAAGAAGAAGAAGAAGAAGAAGAAGAAGGCCATCCATTCAGCAGTATCCCTGCGATCTGAACCTGGATGGAATCGCATCTCCGATCCCTCTGGATAAACAACCTTGTGTCTTAACCGCTGCAACCGTGGAGCCATACCAGATGTGCATTTAACAATTTTAATTGCATCTACTTGCATTTAATTGAATTATCAATACGCTGCAAGAAAGACCGGGGAGGAGAACAGAGGGGTATGAGAAGGTGGTGAGATGAGAGAGTGCCGTTGTTGTTTTTTTTCCCCCTCAAGAGCAAGGGCTTGTGGTCCTGGCTCCTTGCAGACTTGCCGGTGCAGAAGAAACCGGAATGACACTCTCCGGGAAGAACCATTAATTGAGTGAATTCTTCTCGTGTTCTTCTTCTCCATCTTCTCCATTTTCTTCTTCTTCTTCTTCTTCTTCTTCTTCTTCTTCTTCTTCTTCTTTCTTTTGTCTTTTTCTTTTTGCTAATCCTTTCAAGTGCATTGTCCGGTCGAGACCTTTTCATCACTTTGCGGATCTTTGGCTCCATATACATCGCTCCATCGAGCATGTGTCAGTGGATGACGATCTTTTTCGAACTGCTCCAGGCCTCCAAAGGTTGTGTTTGGGTGAAGCGTTTGGAGAGGGCGTTCTTTTGAGATCGCCAATTTTTTTGTGTGTGAAGTTTTTTTGCGGAAATTTGCGCAATTAAGAAGATTTTGGCGAAACGACGGGGTTGTGGTTTGTGTGTGTCTGTAGACTCTGTACCACGACAATCAATGTTCGCGGCTTCGTAAGTGCTGGATGTCGCTGGATGTCATCATATTTTTATATTCAGTAATAAGTTACTAATAACTTAATAATAAGTTAATAACCATAATATGTTTGAGTCGTATGTGCCGCTTTGTGCCACAATTACGTTGTTCCAATCTACCCAAGGCTCAATAATAATGGACCTTTCTCGGCCTTTTGGCTAAGATCAAGTGTAATATCTGTTCTGATCAGTTTAATATCTGATAGGTGAATAATTTGAAAAAAAAAAAGGACTCCCACAATAATGGAGTCTCAAGAGTTGAAGAGATTTTTTGACAGCAAACACTCACAGCTAGGAGGACTCCCTCCACTGTGGATGACGCGCCATCATTGCCGCCCCTTGCGCAATTAACAACCACCCTTCGCAGCAAGCTTGCCTGCTCCAACTCGGCCGGGTTCACTCTTAGCGACGACGCCTGACAAAAAAAAAAAAAGATAAGAATTAAGAAGAACATATCAGACAAGTCCTTGATTAAAAAAGAAGAAGAAGAAGAAAAAAAGAGTCCTTGATAACTTCCACAGTCAAGACAAGTCTGACAAGAAACACTCTGCGCAGGACTCTGCAATCGCAAAACTTTTGTCAGCATCTGCTGCTGACCCCTCACCAAACCTCACGAACCAGGCTTTCAGGTCCAGGGTTAGGGTTTTAGATTTTCAGGGTGTAGAGTTTTTTTGTTTTTTTCTTTTTTTTTTGGCCCCTAGGAAAGGGCGACGGCATTGAGATTTCACCATTAAACTGATCGGCCCCAGGTAATTCAGAATGATTGTATTCTGGTCATGTTATTGTGTCTGGATTTCAAGCTTGGGTCTGATTCATATTTCAACAGTTCGTCGGTGCGTACCAACTGAGCTACGGTATGCCCGTTAGTTTCAGGGTTTAGAGTTTAGGGTTTATAGTAAAGGGGGGGAAGAGGAAAAGAAAAGGTGATATAAAGCGTCCACAGCAATTTGAAACTGATATCACCAAAGGAGATGGCAATTCTCACACCATGTCCTCCCTACCGTCTTCACCCGAATAGAACGCCCAGTCATTTTTTTGGGGCAACTTTTCAGTCTAGATACAGCAATAATGACCGGGCGGCGAGCGTTTTATTCGGGTGAAGACAGTAGCAGATCTAACCAGAGCCACAGACTGAGCAAAGATCACTTACCATCACAATGTTATGAACTGGAAGCCTGGGACCTGTAATGGGCCCAGGCGACGAGCGGGACAGTACCAATGTCATTCGACAGCAGAAGCGAGCCATCGATAATCGCCAAGGGGATGAGATAGGTCGTGATTCCAGGTCATGGTCAACCTTTGGCTCACTCCCAGATCACCAAACAGGGGGTGGGGTGTGTGTGTGGGGGGGGGGGGGGGGGGGGGGGG